CAATTCCACGACGTTATCCCACAGTCCACCTACATCTACACAAGTTCGATAACTTACAATCAATCTACAAATATCTTTTTTATCTACAATTCCAGTACATGAATCTGGTTCCATTTGCATGTACACCTCCGGATTCAGTAATCTTCAAGTTAAGATTCGGTCTGTAAATAATCGAGACTTGACCAGATGGTCCAATGATTGACATCATGAACACAATTTGACATGCATCAACCAAGTCAGCGAGCCTGACCACTCGATCCCGCTAGTCGCCTCTTACGACAAGCAGGAGTTGCTGATATTTCTCCAGTAAAGTGTGACCAAATATTTCCATCAAATCATATTTCCAAGGGAAAATAGCCTTGGACTGCGTAGGGTTACACATCGTGTGGCTCAGGATTGTCTGTCTCCTGTATGTATTAATAATATTAGCATGAAAAAAGAATATGTATATTCGTAGTGATGTGATGCTGTACAACATCGACGACAGTATGAACGGGACTAATTTGTATCTTGTTAAAAGCAATATGATATGAATTTACACAATCAGTAAACACGTCTAGTGTTCACACTTTACGATTAATAGCTGGGCTAGCAGGCTCCATTTACCCGACGACTTTGTAATAGACATTTCCACCCACACGTCAGCTTCTATTTTTCGACAACATATTCCGCTTTAATTATCAAATGAACTCACTTATCCAACTCCAACCCTTCTGTTCCATCTACAATTCTGCAAATCAAGTTTGATATTCCAGTTCCATTAAGTTTCATTGAACTTAATAATCTAGTTCCGTCTACCCATACAGGTATAATCAACTGTCATCACGCATGGTACATCACCCTGCTATCCAAGATCGATAATTCAGTTCTCCATTGACTCCGGTTCGATAATAGAGCTCCATCTATGATTCCAGTTCGATAATCAAGTTTAATATCTATAATTCCACGACGTTATCCCACAGTCCACCTACATCTACACAAGTTCGATAACTTACAATCAATCTACAAATATTTTTTTTTATCTACAATTCCAGTACATGAATCTGGTTCCATTTGCATGTACACCTCCGGATTCAGTAATCTTCAAGTTAAGATTCGGTCTGTAAATAATCGAGACTTGACCAGATGGTCCAATGATTGACATCATGAACACAATTTGACATGCATCAACCAAGTCAGCGAGCCTGACCACTCGATCCCGCTAGTCGCCTCTTACGACAAGAATGGGTTGCTGATATTTCTCCAGTCAGGTGTGACCAAATATTTCCATCAAATCATATTTCCAAGGGAAAATAGCCTTGGACTGCGTTGGGTTACACATCGTGTGGCTCAGGATTGTCTGTCTCCTGTATGTATTAATAATATTAGCATGAAAAAAGAATATGTATATTCGTAGTGATGTGATGCTGTACAACATCGACGACAGTATGAACGGTACTTATTTGTATCTTGTTAAAAGCAATATGATATGCATTTATAAAAATCTCTAATTACTTACGCCGAGAGCTAGACGTACACTGCATATCTATTCACCTAGCCGTACAGTGAATCTACAGTAGGGAACAATGCAAATAAGATTGACATTGATTTGTTGTATTATCGTGTACTTGATGATTTGAAGGGAACATAGTGATAAGGATACAGGATGCAGTAAGATGCAGTATGAGTAACCTATCCACTTAGATATAAGCCGAATGTTTTACTGTGTGTGAAGGTTACCTTCACATGACTGCACCTGTTGGAGGATCACTACTGTCTCTATAATGCGTCTGGTTGCATCAGATATATTACGGAAGTGGTGATTACAGTGACAGTTCAGTCAAAACTAACACAAGTTTAGAGTGTGTTTATAGATATCACCATTCAGACAAAGGGCATATTACAAGGTGAACGTGAGATTTTCGGCCAGATGCCAGAAAAGAAAAATATAGTTTTGCACGTGTGGCTTTTCTTCTTCAAGATTATAGGAGGCGTGAGTGTCTCTATCGTCTGTGGTGCTGCAATTCAGAGTTACAGCCTTTAGTCGCGTCAGGATCTGCTGATTGTTATTTTGAATACTTTGTCCCATATATATATTCAATAGTGTCAGAACAATGAGATCCAATCAAATGGTAAAGGTCACTCTTGAATTTCCTCCGACAGTAAATCATGATCATACCAGCTATACTACTAGCGTAACATGCTTTACCCTTTCCGTGAAATACCGGTATCATCACCGATTTTCAGTGATCATTCAGTTGTTTCCGCTATTTTTTCCTTTTACGCCAAGTGGAATATGTTTCGGCGGATAATCGAGGCTCATAATTCTCTGGAGTTTACGTTATATTGTACAATATGTTTAACGGATTTATATTAAAAGGTCAATACAATTACTAGAAGAGAGTTGGAAACATATTTCTGTGTATTCGATTGAATCGTGTGATTCCTTTCGAAAATATTGATCAGGTAAAAGATCGATATACACATTGCAACATAAATAACTGTGGGATGTCTTGATTTATGTGTTAATGACACATGAACAAATCTCCGAATGTCGACCACAATCATGTCATTAAAAACGACAAGTGCTGCCGGTTAGAAAAGACGTTCGCCATACACGAGTATCACGGTAATATGTTAACACAAAAGCTATTTACTACACGACAGGGTCCCCAAAGTAAAGAGAGTTCTACAGTAACCGGTGGAGCCTTTGTTATGAATTGACCGCATGCCAAGGATGTAGCTTCCTCTGGGAGTATTTGTATCTCTACTGAATCACCCTGAGGTTCTATATACCTTCTAGCACGCTCCGAACTAAGGAGAAAGTGATACATTTATATACGCCTCTGGGCATTTCCCAAATATTGCTGTATGTAATATCTAAAGCATACACAGCCAATTACAGTAGCCAGCAGATAACATGACGTTGGACTCCAATCACAGTGTAAATCGTGTTCTAACCAAGGCCAATTTCGTGCTGTTACAATATTTTCCCCAGGGGGCCAAATTTCATTATTTCTTTCATCGACATGGTGTATAATTAACGATCCCGAGATCAGAGTTGTGCCATTCAATATTTGCACACTTTATTAACATCTGTAAAATCCACTAACAGTTCACAACGATTGCTAAGCTATGAGCGGTTGGCATCAGATTGCGTTTTATGCTGTATTGATCAAGACTATAGCTATGCGTCTGATTTCACAAATCTTTACGTAACTGTAAGTGTCAAAAGATAAAATCGAAAAATAATGTTTCGAGAAATAGTCTGGTAGAGTAAAAGTTTTAATTTCTCTTCATCACATAAATGTTAATCTTAATTATCACAGTATATCAATTAAGATAATCATATATACATGTAGTATGACAAAGTAAACATTTTGAATTATTCTAGTACGTTTGCTAGTCTCAAATACGGTGCAGATTTGATACCGAAACTCAAAAAAGCTTTGCTGCCTTTACTAGCTGCTGCAAAGGGCTAATATATATTCATTTACACATAACACAAAAATCGGAGTTAATCAAACGAACAGCTTCATTTATACATAATATTAATTTAGGTAAAATGCTCAGTTTTTGTTTGACTGAATACACGTTCACCTTGTCTTCCTCTAAAGTTACCCGTGGTGCTATAAATCAACGTACATGTGGGTAACATATTAGCCTTCAAACACCCTACCGCGAAGTTGCCATAAATAGAACTAATTATTAGATAAAAAGTTATTTTGAAATTGGAAAATAGGTATCTAATGAAACGACTTAAAAGCTTTAATCGAACTGCACTGTGCGATTGCCAGCATACAAATACTGTTGAGAGACGGGACCCCATGCTGTAAATGAGTTGCCTGTGGACATCCAAAGCACAACAGGCATTTACTTCCCTATTCATCTCAATGAAAAGCGCGTGTTAAACGTTCATTTCAAAGCTATCCACCAGGCCGACTATATATATTCTTGACTGAGTGACATTTCTCCCAGCGCCTATTATTGCTCAGACTACCAATTCAGGAGCGCAATAAAGACAGTCCGGGAATTTTTATTTCTGCGCCCTCCTTGAAAGGTAGTCTTATCATTGAGCGTATATCTGTTTTGACGTGTCCAAGCTGGGATCGCTAAGGTTATATTACTTTAAGAGCACGATAACTGATTCGTTGAATATAAAGTAATCCTTTCTTTTAGGATCAACAGTATCTTATGTCGTTCAGCATGTTTGAATCAATGAAGGCATTGAACTGATTCCAAATGAACCCTTTAAATGCAATAGAAATTGGCGATAAGTCCTTTGTTAAATATGAAATTCATGTTGTTTACGATATTCCCTTGCATTGAATTATTCAGAATTCAAAGGTATCATTGGACAAGTTAATTGGAGGACAACAGCATGGGCTGCGCCTGTTCACCGACTTTGCAATATTGTACTTAATAGATAAATAATGATTGCAAAGCACCATACACGATCTCTACGTATACAGACAGACAGGTTCAGTTATTCTACCACCGCTTGTTGATTATTGGAAAAGATGGGAGAGACTCTTCGATGAAATTAACATTTAGGAAACATACTATGAATCCGAATGTTCATGATTGTTACGCCCATAACCCGGTGTTAATTGTTCGCATAACGAAACATGTCTAAGTCAGGCATTGCACGCCTGTGAGAACTCGCTAGTTTTCTGTCCCGTTATATCGCCCCACGCTTCAAGCATGTTAAGTGTGTGCTTTATAACATATATCACCGGCTCTTAAGACCCAGTTGAAAGGAGATCAATGCAAGGACAGATTCAAAGCACTGTCTTACTGAATAGAGTCAAATGCTCCGCTGAAACTTTATGATAATATGTTATTTGTTTGCAATAGAAACGTAGAGGTTTACACTGCCTATTTACAAAATGGACTGAGATATTTGTTGTTTAAATATATGAATATTTTCTAAACAAACACAGAAAGGTGGTGGAATTATCAAAGAAAGCATAGTCATTCACGGTTCAAGATTGCTTTGGGAGACGGTGTAGCGATAGGGGCGAGTGCAGACGAAGGGTAGGGTATGTCTCTGACGTCACATACTACTGTAAAGGCTAGAAGTTGAAAAGACGTGTTTTCTTTCTCGGGACAACTGTTGATATACGACAGATAAAGCTCCCCGTTCCGTAAATCGCCGAATAATGTAGATCCCGAGAAGAGGTTACATAAGCTGGGACTTCATATTGGCAGGTTCAGCCTGCAACGCTATCCGTCTACACTCGTGTATCGAAACTAAGGCTTATCGTGGATGGTGCGCCAGCCCATAGAAGCCTGTATTAGCTCTTGCTCTGTAGCTTTCAAAACAAACTTGGCCCACTGTGCAGTCATATTACTCTCCTTGGAACAGCGACAATTCATCTCAGGATTTTTTCGGATTGTGCATGTATGTGAGGTTCGGGAACGTTTCCGGGGTTAAGCGTGGCAGCTTGATGGTAGCGATCTGAGAGCTACTTTGGTCTGGCCCATCACGCGGCGACGGTACAAGCTAATCATTATGAGAGAGCTAATGCCTGGCAGTGGACGTGCCCTGGTCTCTGTGTGTGCTCAGGTGTGGGTACTGACCGGTGTCTTTGTGTTTCATCCAGTGGGGGCTGTGACAGGGAAGCTACCGGACGAACAGAGGCTCCTGCGAAGGTTGTTCAACCCTCGGGTGTATGACACCAGCGTCCGTCCCGTCTTCAACTCCTCCGAAAATGTGGAAGTGTTTTTCAACTTTAATCTCATCCAGATCATGGACATGGTGAGTTGTTCACTGAACTAATGTTTCTTTCGAGTCTGTAATTTTACCATTTGTGTGAAACTAACAATTTGTCATGTTAATTCTGAAACGTGGCTACTGATTTTCAGTAAGAATGGTATATCTGAAAATCATAGAACCATTGAACCAAGAGTGTATTTAATTCATTGGGGGACAAAATTCATAAAAATGTCTGAAATCAAGAAATATCTGCATTTTCGGCATATCATCATAAGACATGACCGGCGATATGGTGGTTTCAAATTTCACGTGGTATATTATCACTGGACAGATTGCAGCGGTTGCCTAGGATGCTAAAGCTAGTCTCTCTTCAAAAGAGGATATTAAATACATCTACTCAACATTAGCTGCGGGAGCACCTGGTTCCTTCATACACAGGTGATAACGTGATAAGCTAGATGCCATGGGTTAACCATATAAACGCTTCTATGTTCATTTAGACGGCGTTGCATGATGCTAACATAACCTGTTTGTGCATTTGTGTCGCTATCTCTGATAGACTATATAGATACCACTTATAATGGTAATGCAGCTGGTCACAAATGGATGTTTATGCACTGTTAGTGCTATTTATTAACAGCTCGGACGCACTTAGCTATGTTTATATCCCTATTCTTGTCAGATTATCGTTGCAAGATTGCTTTTATTTAAACCATTCACACAAACTAATGGGTGTTTATTATATGATTTATGTTGAAATTACACAAATCATGTTATACACACGCTAAGTGAATATTGGGAGGCATAAATGCTATGTTGAAAGGTAATTTGGAAGAAGTAATAATAACAATATCCAATCGTATACTGTTCTGTCCTGCTTCATTGAGATGTGATGAGAAGGACGAATTGGATGGGGTGGGGGTCGCGGGTAGCCTTATTGTTACAGCGTTCGTTTGACATGCCGAAGACACGGGTTCGATTCTCAACATTTCTACAACATGTGAAGCCCATTTCAGGTGTTTCCCGCCAGCATATTGCTGGAATATTGTAAGATGTGGACTAAAACCTGGTTTGAGACACGGGGGTAGTTTAGTGGTTAAAATATTCAGTTGTAAACGCCCTCGTGTCTCCACTTGGTTTCAGAGTTTGAAACCCTATCTTGGTGACCATCTCCGTGAAATAGCCGGACATTTGTTGTCTGCGATGGAAAACCATACTCTTTAGTCGACTGTATATCCATAATACATGTTAAAATCTGTTCAAAACTTTAGCATTTGACATAATCATCTAACTCATATCCCTAAATTGTGACTTGAAGAAAACAGCCCGTAACGCACTAACACAGAGGCCCTGGGTAAATATAAAGATATTAAAGTCATTATTTGAAAGCAGACTTGATGTCTGGGTATACTTCTACTCCCATGTTTACACATCATATCTGATTTTGCATATATTGGTAATAGGGACGTTTGTTCCTGCAATGTACAAATATAATTCCCCAATCCAATGAAGTCAATTAAGAAAACCACATAAGAAAATAAAGATCTTTCACGAATACGACTGACAATGCATCAGCAAAGATTAAAGAAGCCAAAAGGGATTGTTGTTTCTCTGACAGACATGTTCCACACAAGCGTTGGTGTGGCCTCAAACCACGTCTATACATTTAGCTGATATATCAGAAAGAAAAAATCTCCAAGACTGTTATAATCGTTCTTTTGGCTGCCAATCCGTGTGGCATATCAGTGACATTGATTCTTGTTCCCAAGTTGGTCGTCGCTTCCCGTGCACATGTTCAATTGATCAGTATCACATAAAGACGGGAAAGAGCTTTCGACAAAACAATACTTTATGCAACGATGACACTACTCGATATGATAGGACTTTGAGCCTGGCAGGATAAACTAATTATAGGCCTGGAATCCTCTTTCCTGTGTAAATCAGTTAATGCACCCATGTGTACCTCACACCGTGATAAATGCACCTGCCACCTTCAACGTAATATTTCTCAGACGAGCTTTAGCACTTTCGAGAAGAGTCAAATAGTTTTTAAACTTATTTGTGCAAACTGTGCAAAGAGCATGCCTAAAGATACAGATTGATTTTTATTAGCACCTCTTTATCGTCAGTCGCGTTGAAGTTGACTTCTGGCAATTTTCTCTGAAATATTATGCATTTTAAATCAAAGGACAGAGACGGTCTGAATTCAAAGTATTGAAAATACGGTCACAACATTTTTCTATCATGTAATCGTTGATGACAAATTTGTTATTCTCGGTTGACAGTCGCTGTGCGAAGAACAAAATGTAATCCAGCAGGGAGCTGCTGCTCATCCTTCATCTTATAATCCCCTGTATCAATATGATTGATGTCCAAACCTCCTCGGTGTATACTCCCCAGACAGCTATTAAAGGGTTAAGTCGATATTGCAAGTGAAAATATATCGGCGCTTCTGCATTAAAACTTCCTATGCTTCCCTTGCGGGTCTCTGTACACGCCATTCTAACATGGCTAACGGCACTGGGGACATTGATGAAAATCAGATGGGCAAATTCAATTTCCAAATAATATCTTTTTATCATATATTTCACTTGTGGAAAGATGCATTCTCTGACGTCATCCTCGCATTTGAATGAAAAGTAAATTTCACCACTGCTTGTTCAAGAAGAATTGTTCTTGCTTGTGGCTTTCAGTCCCTGGTTTTTGATGAACCACATTGATCCTCTTTTCTCATATCTAGATTTGATGACGCAATGTTATATTACCATAATGAGATCTCAGAAAATGTTTTGAATATATTTCATTTATTTTATATTTCTAATTTCAACAAAGATGATGTTACTGGGTGATACGCTTTATTCATTTTACTGTGTAATATCTTGATTTAATCAACGTTAAATAGATGACATAATGTGAATTTAGAACATTTGAACATAATTACAATTCCTTTTGTTGGTATAAATGTATCAGCGTTGGGCAAAATAGCGTGGAGAGGACACGTGTTCTAATTGTGCTTGTGCTATGTCAACATATCAACGCCTACATATCCCGGGCCGCATATATGGAAATTACAATACCATTACCATACTGAATCCATAGCCTCTTTAAGAGGTCAAAAGATGACACGGCAACACGCGACAGTTCCATCACATGACATTCAATGTGGCTATTTGATAACACACATTATTTGCACTTCATTCACCACTGGCTGTTAATAATATCATGTATGGTAAAGACGCTATCAGTTCCCCTCTTGATTGCGTTCTAATTGTACATATTTGTGTGTGTGGAAATCAGTAACGTCACCCCTATACCTCTTTGTTTTGCAAACAGAATTGCAATTATAGCATTAGTCACTGACAACGTTTGGAAGGAAAGTTTTGAAGCATAAAAATGACTTTAAAATTTTCAACATTCTTTCTTTCCATTTTCATTTTTTTTTACTGTGTAGCTAGTAATCTTTTGTGAAAAGAGTAGCACGTGATTGCAGTTGGCAGTTTTCTCTGATAATATCTATATAATGCTATACCCATGCAAATACATTCATGCAACACCAAGCATTATTGAATTATTATGTCGACAAGAACTAAGTGTTTCATACAACCTCATTCGAATATCTATTTCCACCAGAAGCTATCGATATCACAACGTTTTATTCGATTTTAATAATGAAATGACAATGTCATAGAGGAAAAGCCGAATATACGTGACGCCATTACACGTGAACACATACTGCATAATCCCTGAGCAAATAACAAACAAACATATTCAGCTGCAAAATACCAAGGATATTGCTGAAGGTCTTAGTTCGCGAACACCTGGTGTCATCACTGATTTTCAGTGGTCCATTCATATAATTTTCACAGCTATTTTGCACTTTACGCCAAATGGATGGTGTTTCGGCAGATGATCTAGACTGATTATTCTCTTGCATTCTCGAATTTACATGTGCATAAGAAGGAAGCAATTTAAGTGAAAGTCAATTGGTGCATAATAAAACAGATGCAATCAAATAGGTCATTGTAAACCAATCATGAATCAGACATTACAACGATGTATTTTGCAAACTGCACGTTGTTGGTAATGAATATTATTGTGAGAAAACCTTTAAGAATACAAACCCGGTGCTATCACACAAGGCAATAAGGTAACTTAACGAAATCACAACTTTGTGTTTATTGTGTTATATGAAATGTATTCCAAATAACATTTTCACATGACTGCCTTGCAACTGTTACAATCAACAAAACACATACCATTGAAATCCTGTGTCCTTGGAAAAGTTCTGGATACCAACATGCATACACGTTCATATGTTCCTTGTAGCTTGGTACAGATGAAGCTTCGCCATCTTCGATTATGTGTTAATTAATGTTAACGATGATCACTTGAATATTAAATACCACTTTGATATGGGCCAGGTATCAAGTACATGGGGCACGGATGGCCCAGTCGTCTAAGGCGCCGCGATTCGCTGTGCAGAGTTGCGTCCCTTGGGCACGCCAGAAACCTATGATTGTGGGTTCGAATCCCGGTTCGCCCCGATTATGTTTCTAGGTTTCTCAGCACCATACCCGTGCTCGTAGGTTTCACCGAAGTGGTAAACATCTGAGACCTGCATCACTTCGGGCTTTCCTCCCACATTAAGCTGACAAGCCGTGATATAACTGGAATACTCGTAAAAGCAGCGTTAAAACCCAACTCACTCACTCACTCACTATCAAGTACATTGTGGATGCCACAATTTGGCAGATACATGTATCGTATTGGAAGGTATATATATCCATGTTGTTTCTGTGGGAGTTAACACATGCATGATGGTGCAGGGTCTTAATTTCAGCAATTGTTTGAATACGGGTGTATCTTTTTATATATATCTGCAGTGAAAGATATCATAAAAATACACATCGACTCTTCTTACATAGTTCAGTTCTTGTCAGTCACTGCGTTCTTTCTACCGTGGCTAACTTTAAGTGTGTATTACAAATTGCCCGCAATCGATACTTAACTCCTACAAAGCAATAATTCCGATAAACGTTTTAAGTCATTTTGGTTGGTGTGTATGTATTCCAATTCCCGACTGTCGTTATGCCTAATTACGAGAATGCGAATGATATATAAAAATGATTTAATCCGTTTCCTTGTCGATCGTTACCAGACTAAGCGAATACATACGACGATTTACAGTACCAAATACATATCAAAAAGTCCAACCTGCCCAAGATGGACAGCAACATTTTCGCACTCGATCATTCATCAAATGACTAAATCTTAAAATGCCAAACCAAATGACTGTCTGACGTTGCTGTCAAAGACGACAATTGATCACCAGAGTGGTGGTGATGACATTTGCAGACCTCTACATTACAATTCCAAATACAGAATTTTATGTAATCTTCTGCCGAGTGTCGGTATAGGACTTGGTGGTTCCCCTCTGATTCCTACAATTACATTATAATTCTTCAACGAGGATCGCAGAGCGCCAGAAATCGTGAACAGCATACGTGATCCTATATTAGCACCGATTCTGAGCTGGCTTTTCAACGATTGCCTGTTTTGGAATTAAAAGGCATGAAATCTAGGAGTAAAATGCTAACGATTACCAGTTGGATGCTTTTTCTCAACTATCATTGCAGTCAATGATCCATCATCTATCATTTCTGCTATGGACAAAATTTAATCAGATAGAAAAAGCCATTTGGAACTACAACAGGAATAGAATGTGGTCCAGACAAATGCGAGAAAAAGGACACCGAGTTCGGAAATGTGATACGGAGATACATTTATATATTTCTTAACACCGTGAATCCGGAACCATATGGTAAAGAATCATGCGAGTGTCATGTGTTGCATGCAGAGAATGGTGCTGAGAAAAATAGAAGAAAAACTATGCAAGCTCCAAGCAGTTTTAAGTAATCGTTATAATTATGGGGGCTTTTGTGCAGAAGTATTTCTAAAGCCTGGATAGATCCAATGGGTTCGACTCCAAGAGTGAACGTTCACAATCTATGGTTTTTCGCACACTTCAAAACTGAACGTCGTGATATGGTTGATCGAATACATTATTCAACGTCAAAATCAACTCGTAACCATCAAACTTAGATAATCACATCTACATTAGATTTGGCAGCATTTTAAAACGAAAAGAGAGCTGATCATGTATATTGTCTCGAGTGAACATCAAACACTGTATAACGAGCAAACTTGGAATTTCAAATTACAGCAAACGGATGAATTGTGACCACGAGAAGATATCCTTAACTATTCAGATACTTTTGAAAATACTCTATTTCTTTTGCTTTTCTAAATCTTCTTTGTAGGATTTCGGCGCACCCAAGGTTCCCAGTAACTCCATGTTCGTCGAACGAGCTGACGAATATGAGGATATTTGCAAATCACGTCAATTGAAGACAAAATAATTAGAAGTGTGATGGTTTAGTGAGTGAGATACATATGAGATTCACCTCGCTTTGAACGGTGTTTCAATTTCACCACATCGTATAGGATGCAACTCGTAAAGCGGATTGCGGCCTCTTAGACGACTGAGGAATTGGGTAAAATTTACCAGAAACCAGACCATGATTATCGTAAGAACCTATTTATGAGGACCCTGCTGCTAAAATGTATGATTGTGTGACATCACACCCCGAAGGAGGGTGATAACCTATCAATAGAGCCTGCTGCTGGAATGTTTGATCTGGATGAAATCACATCCCCGATAGATGGGGGTAAGCTATCACAGGAGCCTGCTGCAAAAATTCGTGATCTGAGTGATTGTGTGACATCACACTCCGATGGTTCAAAGGTTGTTCATGCTATCTACCAATTGTTTGCTAAACCAACACTAAATCATTCACAGAACATCGCGCTATGGCTGGAGTATTTCTAACTGCGGCGAAACTAATATTCTCCCACGCACTAAGGTCAGCATAAAGTACTTGTTTTAGTCATAAATGCAGATAATGTGTTTACAGTTTCCAAATGTAATTGTTTTGCAATGGACTCACCCAACCAACACCAACATGTGTCTGAAATCAATCAAATATATTCAAAGAAATCATATATAGCATGACTATTCTGTCAATTGACTTGCCAGTCCATAATGTGTTTTTTTCAAGAGAGCGACTGGCCAATCATGATTGATAGTGATTCATAAACACATTCCCATGATATTATCGTAATCGTGCAGTCGACTTTTGGCAGATATTTCAATTTCACTATCCCACATAACAAACTTTAGGAAAAACTTTATTCCTTGATGCATGGGGCTTTTGTTACAAAACATGGTGACCATAGATGCAGTTACATATCTTTCTTCAGTGGTTAAGGACAATTTTTCAAAAATGAAAGCATCTGAGGTTTACTGAGAAAACAATATGTGACATACTGGACTTCCTCATTGATAACATCAATGTAACATTTTGAGGAGAGACATTTAGGCAAGAAGTGCCCTCATAGGTACCAAATGTGCTCCCCTTTTAGCTGATCTGTTTCTTTATGCGTCTGAGTCGGAATTGTGTATTTATCATTTTCCATGACGCCCTCTACATATTCTGGGTCGTACCATGGATGGACCTCTGTGTCAAAACCACAAGCATAGCGGAGACGGTAATAAAATGATCGAGTCACTCCATCATGTCGCTTAAGATACTATGTTTGTGCCAAAGCTTGGCATCCACTGACAATGTGTTGACAGTCTCATTAAATACATTTCATAGTCTACATGCCATATTTACAAGATGATGTTGATGGTACCGTTCAGCAGTACAAAACCATCAACAAAATCAACACTGACATTAACATTGTCCCACATCCTTGGCTCGTTTGCGAAAATTGTGGAATGCCTTGTTTTCATCATGAGTCTTGACATGCTTCACAAGAGGATCATCAGACAAATAAATGTGTGCAAAAGTGCACAAAACAATTCTATCATGAAGAGCCCCAACATTAATCAAACCACGTCCTTCCATTATGATTGGTAAATATAAGCGATTGAGGGAAGAGCGAGGGTTGTGGCATCTAATGTCTGACATGATTCTTCGTGTGAGGGTGTCAATACCCTGAATTTCTTGTTTCGTCCAATCAACAACACCAACAGAATATGAAAGAACGGATACAGCATAAGTATTTGTTGCTTTAACTTTATTGCGAACGTTCAGCTCTGAACTCCGGATTTTCTTAAGTCTACATTTGTACTCTGCCCGAAGTTTTTCCTTGATATAGACATTCTGTAGTTTATCCCTGCGTCCCTGCATCCCTGAGTACCTATAGGCCTGACCTTCCACGAGATGGTCAATAACTCCTCCTCTGTAAGCTAACTGATCCTCCTTCTTCTTGTCCAAAGGATGTGCTGATGATGAGCCTAACCAGCCTGACTGTGCCAGGATCACCCACACCCTCTTGGCTGCATTTTTTATTTTTATCTGTAAATATTAATATTAATAATAATAATAATAATAATGATAATAATCAAAAGCGACAAAACCCTTTTCCATAATCATAAGAAACATGTTACCAGGATTTTCTCTTAACGTCCTGTGTCAATGCAATAAGATAGTAAGAGATTATTTTGTTAGCAATGCTACAAGCATGTCAGATAAGCATTCAAGTTTTACCTATCTGTTCCAGGATGAGAAGAACCAGATCTTGACACTCAATGCCTGGTTGGAATCGGTGAGTTGGCGTCTATCTTACCAGATAGGAAATGCGATCTCATGAACACATCAATTACATCATGAAATGTGTACATATCAGTCAAATTAAATGGAGTTATGTTTCTTCTTTATAAAACTTGGAAAAGTGCCAGGTATCTGTTTTTGCTTTGATTTGAAGTCAAACGTTTATATTTAATATTTTTCATGAAAAAACATTTAGGAAAAGACATGATGAATGGGCAAGAAGTTGCGTTTTCTCAATGATGTGTAACGCTTCCTAATGTTTCTCAACATCGGTTTACACCAGAGGCCCACGATGTCGTTCGTCATTGCACCAGCCTGTCTTAACAGTTAATGTTGAATGAGTAAGAAATTGTGTTTTCTCCGTTTCTCTGAATATATTTTAGCATATCTAAAGTTGTCATTTAATATAGGGCATCGATGTTGGCTTATATCATTTACAAATAGTCGAAGAGTTTGCGAGATACGTTTAACCAAGTTGTACTGCTGATGTGGACAGAAAGAGAGACCCACTAAGATGTATTTGGACCACGTGTTACTTTAGGTCTGCCAGCCTTTTAGTATGACTCAATGGTTATCTTTTAGAAGCAAATAACTACTTCATTCGTCATCTCCTGTGTCATCCAACTAATTCTAAGTCTAAATGCCAACGTTCACTTCAACGTATTTACTTCCCACTGTAAGTGGGTGAATCATATTAAGGTAATATCAGCCTAGCAACTGATTTCACATTTGAGTAGACATATTGAATGGTGATACTTAAATAGACACGTTTACTCGGAATATAAATAAATAACCACTTTAGCCTTGATTTAGTGACAGTCTGTGGAAAAGCCGTTTGACATTCAAAGCACCAAGTACTCATCTAGGTGACAATTGATTAATGTTTAGTTGTTATATCAGGTTTTCACCTTTCACCTTTCGATCAGAATGGTTCACGGTTATATCACATATTTGAAAACAGTACCATAGTTTTGCATTGGTATGTTTGCAAATCACGTCAACTGTAACCACTCTGAAGACTGGAAGCTTAAAGTGTGGTGAATTAAGTAAGATTAGCCAGAAATACTTTCATTTGATGTGCAAAAAGTATAAGGTAGTCGGATCACCTCAGCTGTCGTATAACCTTTTATTCAGTAAGGTTCGTGCAGAAACAAAACCAGCGTGTCGTAAGTGTCGACTATAATGACGATCAGATGTTTTAATGTGCGAACTTTCTGATTGTGTGTCATCATACCCCTCTAGGGAGCGTAAAAAAATGTTTTTAATAGCCGTGAAAGCGCTGGAATAATGCTGACTGCGGTTTGCAACAACATTCACTCAATCGTAGACACTTATTAAATATGGTCTTCTTGTTTGAATTCACAGAACTGGAAAGACGAGCGGATAGATTGGGATCCTGAAGATTTCGGAGGCTTAAAAATGTTCAGGCTTCCGTCGAAGAAACTTTGGCTCCCTGACATAGTGCTTTACAATAAGTAAGTACATAAAGGGAACGTCGGGGAAGTTTAAGTACACAACGATGGATTGTTTTATCATGTGTGATCGATGTACCAATAAACCAAAAAGGTGCAAAAGGTATTTTTCTTTATTATATCAGTGTTCAGCTACACTCAGTAAATATTTAATGTCAACGCCAGAAATTAACCAGTCTTGATTATCCGACGAAGTAGATGTCATCGAGCGTAATGAGGCAAAATAGCGGTAACCATTATTTGAAAGGATGACTGAAAATAATTTATGAAAATATGTGTTCGATAAAACGGTAGGCATGTCCTGCCCCACCGATAGCACTAATGGTCCCTCCGGCATTATACTCGCTGAGTTCTTTACATCAATGTTTGTAGTTTACATCCGAAGTGTATGCATGACAGTATATCAATGCACTAACTGATGGTTAGGGATATGTATGTACCAATAAACATGTCACTTGAACACATTACAACTGACAAGCTTATCGACACCTAGTTGCGCGTACTTATTACTGAATCAATTGCAATTGAACCAGAAAGAGAAAGTAGGTCTTCTTTAGCTCATGGAAGTGTTGACCTAAACTGTCGGGTAAAAGAAGGTATACACTTGAAAATTGCATTCGACACACTAAAATGAAACCTTTACTTAATTGAAAACAGTCACCGAAACACTGCACAACACCACCGTGATACTCGTATTAAATGCACCACTGTCGAATAACCACTTCCTGTTTGTTTTATTTGTGGCCATCAAACATGGGTGTATACTTCTTTTGTCCGGTAGTTTATTATTAGTTTCGAAATAATCAATGATCACTTATCATGTTATGCATTAAAATGTATTAAATGTCTTTTTGTGAAGCAAAATTATTTTAATTTCAATTAATATCCGAACAATGATTTTCTCGGTCCCCCTCCAACTTGTCATCAACTATCATTAATAGTCGGTCCCTTAAGACAATCTCTATATATTTCAGTGCTGATGACTACACGACAGGGTTCATGCCTTGTAATGCTATGGTCGACAATAAAGGAGGAGTGCTGTGGTCACCCCCAGCTAGATTGCGGAGTTCCTGCAAGATCGACATCAGATACTTCCCGTTTGACAGTCAACGTTGCACTCTCAAGTTCGGCTCTTGGACATACGACAAGGCTCAGGTGGACCTAATCAACCGATCGGAACTTGCTGACATTTCAAACTACATAACAAATGGCGAGTGGCGTTTAACTGCTTACGAAGTGGTCCGCCATGAAGTTGTGTACCCAATCGGGGATGCTGTTTACCCGGATGTTACAATTACCTTGGTAATTCATCGTCGTATCCTGTATTATGTCCTCAACATCTTGTTTCCTTGTTTCTGGCTGAATATCTTGAGCGTCCTGACTTTTTGTCTGCCTCCTGATGCCGGAGAGAAGATTACACTCAGTATTACAGTGCTACTGTCCTACTCGGTGTTCATGCTGTTGGTGGCAGACAGCATGCCGCCCACATCCGACTATGTTCCTCTGATTGGTGAGTTGAAGTAACTTTCATATAGATGGTTTTGAAAAAGGCTTCAGGCGGAAATGATTATGGGAATGTAACTAGTCTTGCTGGTGTTATAAGGGAACAGCAATTTCCCTTAGATAGCTTCTTGTAGAGATTAGTCTTATTGGGAAATATACATGTCAGCGCCAGAGAATAATCATTCTCGATTATCTGCCGAAACAGGTTCCATTGGGTGTAGAAGGCAAAATAGTGATGAATGCATATGAATGGATCACTGAAAATCAGTGGTGACGCCAAGTGTTTGAGGAAAGGGAAAGCATGTCCTGCTCTTCGAACGGAAATATTCTGTGGAACATTTCTGATAGTACACACTATTTGTTTTCCGGACATGAAGTTTGACGTTTGATTCTGAAGTTTGAAAATCTATCCACGCACGTTTGGAAATAAATTGCCCTTGAAATTAATTGTGAACACTATTTTATTTAAAAAAACCTTATATTACCAGCGACACAAAGAATATGACTTGTATATATGCGTTATTCAGTTGACCCGTGAAGATCCGGGGTAGAAAAGGTCTTCAGCAACCAATCCTTGCCGTAAAAGGCGACTTTGCTTGTCGTAAAAGGCGACTAGCGGGATCGGGTGGTCAGGCTCGCTGACTTGGTTGATGCCTGTCATCGATCCCAATTGCATGTATCGATGTTCATGATGTCAATCACTGGATTGTCTGCTCCAGACTCGATTATTTGCAGACCGTCGTCATATAGCTGGAATATTGCTGAGTGCGGCGTTAAAACAAACAAACAAACATTTCAAGTTGGTAATTGTACATGAATAATGTTAAAGACATCAATGTTGTGAGGATATGGGGATTATACACTGCTGAGAGTATGTACATAGAGTGTTATGATGTTTGTCTATGGTGTGTGAGTTCAAATTTGAATGTCACTTTGGCAGTAGTATAGCCATATTGTGACTATTGTATATTTCATACAATCTACAAAAAAGACATCAAGGGACAAATCAGACTTTGTTGATAGAATGGTGGATATATTTCTAAACAAGATAGGATCTGTTTGTTTGTTGTTTCGCGTCGCACTCAGCAATAATTTAGCTAAACGACGTTGGCCTAGAGGTATTCGGGTGCGGACCTTAAATCCGGACCTTACCAGTAAGTGATTACTATTGTGAGTATTGATTCACACCATCGGGGTACGATGACACGCAATGAACCAAGTCACGGAGTCAGACCACCCGATCCATTTTATCGCCTCTTACGACCAGCATAGATTTCTGGAAAGCTATTCTATTCTGGAATTCCCACGGGGAATACACGATAGGAGCACATACACACTATTGCATAGTTAAAAAAAACACGGGCCTTCATTACTTGAGTGCGTTAAAAATTTAATTGCTTTACAACAATTATTAGTGTAAGATTTCTTTGATGGATCAAATGCATTGGGCCGTTTCAACCGTAGCCACAGCAGGAAAAGTAATATACATGTAAACGATCTCCCACTCCTCGGTACGAGACACCATATAATCAGTAAATGTTAGATGGGTTTCGAAATTTGAACTGAACTATAAACGGGATAAGAAATAAAGGTTGCTTTGTGAAAAAACAACATGAAAGGAATCTTAATGATGCTCTGTTGTACTTGTGTGATTAACTGATTTAGAGGGTTCCTCCACGAAAGAAGGTCAGGCTTGGTAACAACATGATTTATTTAGAAAGTAACCCAACGATAGGAACGTTTGCCCTTTCCAAAGTGTGTTTTCAGTGTAAACCAGACCATCTAAGGAATTCCATTGACCACGTTCTTTCCCCTAAGACTTATCGATAAACTGGTGTGCACACCAGTGCAGAGTTGCAGAGCAATGTTAACACAGCTCATGAGAACTGTCACATTGCCTTTACGGGATTAGAGAGATTTAACCAATTGCAACTTCGCCGTGTGGTAACGCTCAACGTTTTCAAATTTAATTTGAAAATAAAATTGCAATTTCAAAACCCAATTTGCAGGCTCAATGAATTTCTTTTGATGTGTTCTCACTAAAAATGAGCAGTTTCTTCTTTTCATAAACTGTTTTGTAATCAAGAGTGATAAGATTGATCATATTGAATTTTCAGTAACTGTTGTTGAGGGAGGGTAGGGGGCCAAGGGATTGCTAAGGAGGCAGTGAGTGTGGTCAGTTAAGACGATTTGGCTTTAATGTGATAGATTACTTAACCAAGTACGACATGTACGCCTCATTCGCGAAAAGGGATATATCTCAGGGACTTTAACAAAGATTTTGTCATTCCAAGCATCAGCCACTGGCAGCAATACAAGTGAAATTATCACTACTCTAGCTCAATAGTCTAACTTCCTGCTGGTTGAAAACAATTCACAATAAAGTCTTCTCATTGGGATTCTGCCTTTTAATTTTCTCAGGACAACTTTAATCACGTAAGTGGTATCTTTCAACTAGCCAAAACAGTGCCACTTGATTTATTTGGTCGAAGATTAGTATACTTTCCACGGAATTGGAAACTCTCTAGAGCATCTCACACGATGCTTCTTTAATAGGGCATTTGTGATGTAACTGTAATGCGACCTAAACCCCACATTCTCACATTTCTTATCTACACTGCATTCTCTTAATACGTCACTTTTGCTCCTTAACAAAGCACTGTTTCATGTCAAGACCATGCCATGTCGAGGAGTCGAAAAGTTGAGTTTCAAGTCGAGCAAAACAATATCAGTCTAATGCTTTTCGCCTATTTGTTGTAACTACAATGAATTCTAAGTTTCATTACAAGGATTTGTCAGATGGCGTAGACACCTGTAGCTGACAAAAAAACATATATATTCGTGTAATGGTACGTTTCTATTTCTATTTCAGAGATCTACCTAACCATGTCAATGGCTGTGGCATCAGTGTCTGTAATCTTGACTGTCTTTATATTAAAACTTCACCACTGTCCTCCAAGCCAGGCGGAGGTTCCTAACTGGGTGCGATTTCTTGTCCTCAAGCTGCTGGCATCTATAGTACGATGTAGCTGTGTCACAAACCCCAATGTTGATCAAAGCAGGCCATTCATAGTAGTCACGCCTACCAAAGATACAGAACCTTCAGATGCCTGTTCACGCCTTCTTGGTGATCACTGCTTAGTTCCAAAGTCAAATCATCCACAAGAAATGGGATCAAGATCCGATGATAATCTCAGTGTTGAATTTCGATCGTCTACAAGACGTAGTTTTTCCAATAAGGATTCGAGCTCGGACGTTCGGATGCATCTGTACGAGCGGTCAGGAACAGGGATGGAGGAGCTTCTGAGGTACCTCAAGTTGATTGTGGAGAAGAACGATGACGAGGATAGAGCTAATGAAATGAATGATGAATGGAAACAGGTGGCGCTTGTGGTCGATAGACTCATGTTCTGGTTGTTCATGTTTATCACCCTTTTCTCAACACTCGTGGTTCTTGTTATCGTCCCAGCCGTTAAATATGCAGAGGATGAAGGGAAATAACAACATAGGTACATGTCTTTCTGGCAGTCTATTACAGCAATATGAACCTAAAGATTGTTACCTGTACATGTATTGTCATCTGATGTGCTCAATTGGAATGTATCATATTTTACTGTAGGCTTACTGTGATGATTAAGGGGTTCAATGAAAGTTCATTTGCTAACGTCTAGTGTACTGATGTGATCATACAACGTATAGACTGTATGAAAGCAGACGCACCGATTTTAACTTCATGTTCTTGATATGTATACGAAATATCATAAAAGTCACAATTCGAAAACTATTTACACATTTATACTCATAGTAACATTTTGCTTTACCTGCATGAATGTTACTAGACTGTGTTCAGGCAACGGAATAGTAAGCATAGAAACGTTTCATTTAGCAATGGTGTATAAAAACGAAACAAATGATTATATATAGTGTATTTTTAGAAGCTTTACAAATCCATCATACCCGTGTGTAGGTATTATGGCGCCTCTTATGCCGTACGTACCAAGTGTAAATACATTAAAACAATAAAACTAACAATAAAAATAACTGCAAAGTCTTGTTTTACTGTTTAATACAAACTTTTATGACCATCTGAGACGAGCTGTCGGATAACTATGAACACGTTACCTTCATGCAACCAGACAGAAAAAAGCTTTTAATTACACTTTTATTCAAACATAATTATATCGTTAATTCAGAGGCAGACCGAGTAACTTGCAGTTTGTTTACACAGAAGGAAATACCCACTGCTTAATAGTTAGGAACAAACGATTTTTTTTCGGATTTATATCGACTCGACCTTCTTTTCGTTCACTTATGGTATTAAGTCAAATCAATATTGTCAATATAATGTTGAACGAACGTGGCTGAGGACGATTTATTGAGATTTTGATGATGGCCTTTGCACAAAAGGTTTCGTACGATAAGATTTTTTTCTTTTATTCAAAGTGATTTTAGAATTTGATCAATTTGATCACACTTGAAGTCCGCGCATTGTCATCCCAGGGTTTCCTGATACCTAAAAAACAATAACAATGATGACGCCGGCGTTAGAATCAGGTTTCCAATTTGTTTGCCAACTGCGTTTTCAACAACCACCTGCGATTCGACTATTTGAGACTGTGTAATCAGCCATCTGTGGAAGGACAACTCGAGAACAGAATTTGTCTTGAAGAAAAATAGCAGTCCCCATCGATCTACTTTCAATTGGCTCATTCTCTAAGACGGTTGTCATGGCAACGTGGACTTATGCAAAGTGATTGGCTGAAGAAATAATTCAAAATGGTAATAATCTCAGTTCAGTAATTATTAAGCACAAACTCCGATTGGAAAGTATTCAGATCAAATGCGAATTAATCTGGAAACGGTATCATTGTTTCACCACCAAACCAAAGCTGCTATTTAACGGTAATGAAATTATATTTAGGCAGAGAGATTTTGACGTATATGATGACAATGTGTATCAGTAACAAAGTGACAAGCATAGTAATAAGGACATCCTCCTGATGCTGTGATGGAGGGTGAACTGACAAAACCGTGAGACCATAAATACCAAAAACACCAGACATTTGTAGCTTTTTCAAAAGCTCAAGTTGATAATTCTCAAGAGTGGTCTGAGAGAAAGGCGTTGTTTTACAACATAGGGATATCATCTTTCACTTGTTTCTGGCTTTTCTGAGGTTAGTTGATAATGTTGTGAAGCTCGTACCGTGTGGAAGCATGAGTTTTCTAAACACAGAGAAAAATCGATGTTAATTTGTAGCTAGAGAAAGGCGTCTCTGACCGTGAAATACAGCCCCGACCTTAAGGGAACCAGGAAAGGATTGAATTTTGAAACCGGACGTTTTAGCAGCTTTGCAATAGACACAGTAAAAAACGGTTGACCATTTCCATCAAAGCAACATGGAGATGATGCAACTTAAAGATCTATTCAATTGATTAGTGAGATTGTTTCTTGCAGTAGGATACGTGATAGTGAAGATTGCAATGCCTTGTGAGCTATGAGGCAACTGAAGTGGTGTAATTAAAACTGCTGAATTGGTCCATACCGATTGTAAAACAGGAATTTTTGGAGAATGTCTATTTTCATGCAGAGGTGCGTGACAAATGTCCGCCTATCATGCATGTTGAGTATGACATGAAAATGTTCCTTCAAAATTGCCATATGGTCATGATTAATGGTAAAATTCCTAGTACACGTGACAGTTCGGTTGAGGGTTAAATAGATGCAGTGAATTATCACGAGCTCATGTAATTCAGATTTAAGGACTGCATATATAAATTCGTTCCATGAACGCCATCAAACGGAATGTGAGAAATTGTATTCTGCACAGTAACGGGATAGAATGAACATTCACATGTAGCTCTTCCATTTGTTATTCCTTTGATCGCCGTCGTGGTCTAGTGGATAGAGCGTCTGTTCCGAGAGCGGAATGTCGGCGGTTCGAACCGGCCGCATCATACCAAAAATACTTCAAAACATGTAACTTGTTGTTACCCTGCCTAGCGCTCGGCATAAAAGGGATAAAGAAAGGACTGGTCGCCCGGGAGTCCGTATGCTGTGTCTGAGTGAGGTATCCATGTTAAACAGCAGCATGGTTTCTCAGTTGGCAAGCATTTGTCCTGACTAGTACAGGCAGCCACTCTCTCACACACATGCATGGGCGTCGTTATATATGTGCAATAATCTTGAACGCGACGTTAACCCCATTTCAGCTCACCTTCAGTTATTCGTTTCCTGTGTTTGTCAGGTATATGATACATATCTTGTCCATGCACTCAGAAGGTGTTTTTATCTTGGCCTGTCATATTCATACTACCGCCAAGGAAGAATTCAAATTGAACGAATATGGAAGCCGTTTGTAAACGGGAAGTATGATTGCAACTCTTAATGATCATTTCTTCTGACATACATGTAAAAGTACTGGTCAGCTGACATCGATAAACGTTAAAATTAATCAATAAAAAAGTCTGAGAGTTTAATATGAGATGAAACCTGAAAAAGTAGAATACTATATTGATGAAACTCACGGAGATTGCTCTGAAAAATCAAGGGTCGTAATCGTTGAGACTCTGGGATCCCATGACCAGCGGATCCGGCGCAGCTAAGAAATGCAAATTTTCAGTCTCCTAATAGCGGCGTATTAGACAATTACCCCCTGACCTTAAGCCGCAGGCTACAGGGCCACACTCACGGAATTCGTGCCTCGTTATAAACGCAGATAAACATGCGTCCAGGGATTTGACGGTCGAGAATGACGTTTTATGCCACAGTGAAATTGGTAATAGTGAAGGCTTTCATCACAGCTTTCCAACTGTCATATAATATTTGTATAGAGCTCTGCATCCAGACGCATATGAATTTTGTGAAAGGATGCAACCGACGATCCGGTTTTCGTTGTTTCTCGTAGTGTATATTGGCATGACCGTTAGAGCAATGGATTGAACTATATTGTATTTCACTGGTATTGATAGTGACACCACAATCACGGGTCTCATTTCCACATGTAGTACTAACATGTAGGGTAGCGTAGCCTAGTGGTTTTAATTGTTCGCTCGCCACGCAGAAGATCCAGGTTCGAGTCCCCACATGAGTACAATGTGTTTATCTCAACCCTGATGTGCCCAATTTAACATTGTTGAGATACGTATGACATACTATGGATGTAAGTGTAATTCGAAAGAACAAATATAGGCATTGGACAAACAATAAGTGCAAAATGGACCGAAAACCTTTTAAAGATTGCAATTCAATAAAAGCGACAACAAAATTTAAAAAAACAATATGGAATGTCTGCTTAAAGCAGAGTCGATTGTACGATTCTGACTATATCATAGGCAAGTATCTATGGATCACCATCAAATAGTGATGATAGTAGGTATTCGCGAGTGAGCGTATCCTGCACCACCTGTGGCACCCGTCACATGCAAATGCAAGTTAAGTATTCACCTGACCATTTCAAAATGAGTACTGTAACAATTATTGGTGCATGCAATCTACTACACAATCACTTGGTCACGGGTTCGCTTGTACCCTTTTCCGAGTTTGCAATTCTTCCTGAATGATCTCTTGTAGTTTCAAGACATAAAAGGCTAAGGTAGGATAATGACCCTTTTTGGCCATGATCGGCAAAAATTATAAACTTTTTAAATTTAATTTGTTGTGAAAGTTATCAGATTTGCTCATATGATAGAGAACTAACCTTTGTTCAACAATTGCATGCTTAGGACCAAGCAAGTCTTTGACCAAACCTGATTTCAATGTACAGAAAAACGTCATAAACATATGGCAAAAACTTCATTTTGGGTCACGAACTTGTTCATACTTAAATTTTCAAATATCTGCCCTTTTCACTCATTTTATCCCCATATGCGTATTTGATCATGTCAACTCCAAACCTTACACATGTCAGAAAGAAAACAGGCTAATTGTCAACCATTTTAACATGTATATGATGTGATATTCTTAACTTTAAAATTATGCCCTTATCTAACTTCCTCCTTTAGTTATCTTTGAATTTTTAAATGTGATTTGGCTGTTGGTTTTAAATTTGGCCTTCTTGTAACACAAAACGAGGTTAGAGCTACGATTTTCGTAAGTCTGTATTACATAACGGGATGCGTATAAAAGCCAAGGTGATCAGATTCTACTGACCTTTGTCATTAAAAGTCACGCTTTTCTTTCAAGTAATTTCAATTGGATGTCATTACAACTGCACTTTTCACAGGGTTGCCAGGTACATGTATGGGACGTGTGGATGAAGGATGGCTGTCAATATCTTTTATGAAGAAGAAGTGCCCTGTGCAAAGACTGTTTGCTTCAGGAGTCCGCTGATATGGTGACAAATGAGTGTGATGAAGACAGGAATGGTTGAGCCTGCTGGCATGGAAGAGCCTTCTATGATCGTTCAGTGTATGGATTTCTGAAATAGATCACCGGAATAAACATTAATGGAACTTATTTTGGGGACAAATTACAGAGGACTTTCGTGACTTCATTTTGCCCTGTGGGTCGGTGTACATGTAATGATATAATGTCTGCGGTGATATGGGGATGAAGGTTACAATGATTGCTAGCTTCACCGCCTGTTGTGGCGTCCTGTAAGTGATGCAGCACCAGTGTAGCTTCTACATTCACAGTTTGGGATGGATCCTTCAGATGTTGGGTACATAGAGGTGTATGTATATCAATCATGTTATTGTGAAGGTTGTCTGAGAGATAGAAGGGAATGTATTAAGGATGTAAATCACACGTGCGTTTTGGTTGGCAGAACTATGTTAGGATACGTATTAAAGACGTGAATCACACGTGCCTATATGTTGGCAGAACTTCATAAGGAGACGAACTGTAGACGTGAATGACACGTGTTTGTACGTTGGCTGAGCACTATAATCAGACGTATTGAGGTGGTGAATAACTCGTGTCTGTAGGTCGACTGAACTATGCAAGTGGGAGGGTGATGACAAGAAGTGGGAGTGAGATAACAAGAAGTGGGAGGGAGATGACAAGAAGCGGGAGGGAGATGACAAGAAGTGGGAGGGAGATG